CCCTCCTCCTCCTCCTCCTCCTCTTTTTCTTTGAACAGTGTCAGAAATCCGAGAATAGAGCTGCAGCAATCCTCAACTATGTCTCCACAAACTTAAAATCGACCTAGATAGTAAAGTGAGAGAGGCAAGCACCTTATACTCAGAAAATGTTGGTAATGTTAGACGTATCTGTCTATTTGAATAGATCATTTTTGAGGCCCAAGATGCGAAGACATTGAGCGGGTTGTTGGAGGGTGTTACTGCTATGTAAATATCTTATTTTCCCAGGCATTGTCCTTTGACAGTTATTGTGTAGATCTGCTTCTTTTTACCCAGAATGCACAAACAAACAGACTGGTGCGATGTTGTGTCCTTGAGAAAGGCACTTTACACAAATTTGCCACTTGGCACGGTCTTTTCGGGTATGGACGTTAAACTCGGAGATCGCACCTCAACATTTATTAGTACGGGTGTTAAACCCCTACCATTTCACCATTTTCACATGCAAACAACAATGAGACAATGCCTATCAGCCTTACACTAAATTCCTCAACAAAAGTTGACGTTCCAAGGATCTCCACGGATCACGGAAATCGTAATTGTACGTAATGACCGGAAAGGTAAACTTTGGTAAAAGGGTTCGGGACCAATCACCTTTAATCACTAATTAGTTATGACCACTTACCGAATGCATCTTTGTCTCCGGTGGGTTTCCGTTAGTGAAGATTTGGATTTTATACGAGTTGTTTTTTTTTCAAGCATAATTTGGCCATCTCAGCACAATTGTATATGCTGACGTTTAGATAGTATTTGACCCCAGTAAGCCACAATAGAGGCCGGAAACATAATTTGTTGTAATTGCTTATTATGGAAAATTCTCTCGGTGTATGAGCAGAGGCTGCATTTACAGTACATCTGTGCATAATAGTAGTACATGTTGTTGAATTTCTTTCTCTCAATGGAGGTGTTTCACGTCCCCATTGACCAAACTAAGATGATTTAGGAGGCAGGCAGGCAGGCTTTTCTTTCCTGCCTATCATGGCCAGCCCTGGCGGCCGAGAAAGGTACAAAGTCCCTACCAGAAGACCCCGATATCCGACAATAATTCCCAAGACACGGGAATGGAACTCAGGTCTCCTGAGTGCGACGACCAAGCGCCTAACCACTACACCACAGACGCTTATTTATGTAGAAGGCCCTCTAAAGCATAAAGAGGGAACAAAAAACAACAACAAAAGACTTCAGAAATGCAGTTATTTGTCGCCTATCAATCGACAGCAAAAGAAAACAAAACAAAAAACCACACCCCTCCCCCTAAAAAAACCCACCCCAAAAACATTCACGGGGGAGGGGGGAGGGGAGGGGGTGGAAACAGGGAACAAAAGACACTTAAGCCTGTCAAATTCTGCATCAGGAATAAATGGTTGGATTAACAAGTTTGCTAGCTGAGGTGTCTGCAACTAGGAGAGCGCCTTCGAAACAAAGTGCTCCCTCCTTAAAACCTTTGAATCTCACTGAGAGATTAGCCGATATCCGTGGTATTTCCAAGGAAAATAGCTGACTCGACAAAACGTTGGTCAAACATACTAGGGAGCTTGGTTACGTTTTGAATGGGGGGATTTTGGGGAGGGGGGATTGTATTGGTAAAGCGAGGCGGAAACACGTCATGATATAAAAATGCACACCTCAATGCCCCCTCCCCCCCCCT